CAAGAGGCACATGCAAGTCTGTGTTGTCCCCTGTGGGTCTTGGCAGTGTTTCCCCAGTTTGCTTCAGCTGTGTTCTCTGGAGGCAGACTTGCCCGAGGTTTAGGTGGTGTTCCCGCTCAGCAGCAAGGTGCTTGAGCTCGAGCCTTTGCAGAGATGACAGGAACCAGCACTATTTCATTTTCTCTCTCTCTCTCTTTGTTCCTGGCACACAAACTTCCAGGGAAAAGGACAGAATCTCAAGGTAGCAGCAGATCCAAGGTGGACTCTGGTAGGACAGGGCTAAGTGAGAAGGAAATGTGTGGCCTAAGAAGGTGAATTAAAGTGAGTCTAGACTGGGGAGGTTGGTGGGAGGTCCTGGTAACTCTGTCCCAAAGTCGGCTTTGCCAGTTCCAGTGGCGAGGAAGACTGGGTTTCCTGCTGACTCCGGATGTGCCTTCCCATCTGCTGATGCTGTAGGGAGGGGCTGTGACGAGGCAGCATGCCCAACCCTGGTGGTGGTAGTGCTGGGTGGGGTGGGGGTTCTTCTGTGTTCTCCTGAGGATAGAGAGAGCTCCTGACACCCAGTGCATCAGGAGGATGAGCAGGAAAGGTTCCTTTACTTCTTTCTGACTTCTGAATAAACCGTGTCTGTGGCTCCAGGGGAGAGGGAGGCTGGCGTTGATTGCTTAGGTTGCAGGACATGGAAGTTGAGGGAGGAATATGCGACTTCATGGATCTGCAAAGCATGAGCAGCCATCAGTTAGATCATTGCCAGGGGCCAGGCCTTCCTGTTCTGTGTGGTCCAGCACCACATGCTGTCACCTCTTTGATACGTTTAACTTTGGAGAAGGGCTGGAGTTCAGTGAAAAATGACGATACAAGGAGAATGAACCAACTATCAGTAGATACAACAATATGGATAAATTGCATAAAACAGTGTGGCATGAAACAAGCCAGACAAGTATAAGGATGTGCTAAGCCACTCCCAGCAGTCTAGAGCAGCATCCTGAGGGGAACGGCTACTCTTTGGGGGGCTATGACTGGGTTCGTTCCTGCAGCGTGTCTTGGTTTTTCACATTGGTATATTTTACATGGGTGTGTGTACTCAACTTGTGAGATTATACATTGTGAAAATGAACTTAATGTGGCAGTAGTTTTCAGAACATACAAGTACTCTATTGAAAGGCAAAGTAAAAAAAAAAAGTAAGGAAAACTATAACATTATGCAATAAAGTACACAGAACACAGGTCCACCAGAATGGAAATTACTCCTTCTTTAAAAAAATTGTTGACTGGTTTATTACAACCAGCAGAGGTCAGAAACTGGAAAGATGCCCAGGGCAGGCTGGGGTGGCACTTCCATGTTCTCTGAGCTGGCCAGCCTGCTAGCACCTTGACTGGGGCTGATCCCTTTGAAGGCTGAGAAGAGGGGTGCTTTACACCGTTATCCTGTTTAATCCCCCTGGCCTCTCCTGGAAGTAGCCAGAGTGTCAGAGTTACAGATGACAACGCTGTGGCTCAGACAGGTCAAGGTCCTTCCCCAGAGTCATCAGGTTTCTACAAACCACAGCCAGGACTTCAACTTGAGGTGTGAGAATTCCAAAGTGCACATTCTTGCTATGAGGCAGAGTCGTAGGAGTGATTAACCAACACCTTTCTGTTGCTGCATTGAGGAATTTGACCAAGCTTGGTCTCAGATTTGTGTCTTCAAGGGTTACACACTCTACTCAGGGGCATTTCCATGAGAACATGAGTCAGGAAAGTGGCTTTTTCTTACCTCTGCAGGTGAAGTGTCAGACTGGTCTTGACCTAAGGAAGCCAGAGAAGAGTTGTTACTGCATGGAAGTACAAAGCTGACCTGAGACTTTATGATTTCGCAGGACAGGAGGTGGCGTGGGGTGGGGGAAGGTGGTGGTGAAGGTGGCCTGTGATCTGTCCCTGGGCAGACCCGCATACCAGTGCCAGTGCAGAGCAGAGGCAGAGCCACAGGAGGCCCCAGGCCATTTCTGGAGGTGCCTAACAGTTCACCAGGCCTTGATTCCTGCCCAGAGTGCTCCTCAGCAGCATACTGCAGTGGCAGGGAAGGGCATCGAAGTCCACAGCACCCAAAGCAGAACAGGACCAAAGGGAGAGGGCCACACCCATGACAGAGGCAGGAGGGGAAGGAGTAAGGATGAGGAAATGGCTTCCAGAGCAGGAGGTGTTTCTCAGACCTGCCTGGCCCAGGCAGAGAGGGGCAGAGCCCCAGGGGACTCCTGTGACTGAGGAGGGTATGAGGACCTATGACCTATGTCAACTTAAGACTGGGAAATGGAGACCCCCTTGCACAAAATCAGAAGGTATCCATTGATTTAGGAATCTAAGATTCCCAGCCAGGACAGGGCGAGTGGGAACATTCCAGTCCTCACTGGGTGAGTGGCTTTACTCACTGTGGTTGGAGGCTGAGGGGTTGTACTGTGTGAGATGGAGCTGGTCACTTGCCCTAAACAAACGTCAGACACTGACTGCTATTCCTGAGCAGAGCATCTGGGTTGGGAAGGGGCTCGTGGATGCTCGTGGTCACTGCCTTTCTTCTTGGGGCTCACTTCCATCTAAACACAACCCCATCTAGTCCTTGACTCCTGTCCTGTTTGCTAGATTCAGGTGCGTTTCTTCTTGGCTGCTTCCACCCTATGGTCTTCCCCATTTAGTTTTTCCAGGGGTGGTTCTTTATATTTTTTGGTTACTTTATTTGTTCTCTAAACTGCCTTCCTTGAGGCTGGCTTCCTGTCCTGTCCCTCCTGCAGCACCGGTCAGCAGAGCATAGGAGTCGCCTGCTCCTGCTGCTGCTTTTCTTGCCTCACCTGTTTCCTTCTGTGACTGGGGATGGAGCAGCAGAACAGGTGAGGACGAAAGAGACAGCAGGGTTCAGTGGCCATGAAGACCCAGTGGAAAAGACACCTGCAGGAATTCCCACAGAGAAGCAGGGGAGACCCAGGCCCTGAGAGAGAGTTGAAGGAGTCCTTTCCCTCTCCCAGCTTGGCAGTTAGCCTTGGAGGACGTGGGGGACAGGAGGAAAGGCTGTCCTACCTGCGGGTCTTGCTGCAATACAGAAAGTAGGCCAGGATGCAGAGCAGGATCAGGGCAACGAAGGCTCCAATCACGATGCCGGCAATGGCCCCAGGCAGGAGGTGAGTATTTTCTGTATCAAGAGCTGGGCAAAAAGAGATGAAGGTGAAATCTGAAATTATTTCACTGTGAGCATGCCATGAGCAACAGTCCTTCAGGGAATAATCTTCTGGGAGAATGACTGAGACTATGGAGTCTTTGTCATTTTTCCTCTTAGTGGTCATGAGGCCTCCCTTAATTCTGTCTTTCTGAATGTAGATGTTTCTGAAGGCTTAGGGAATGTGAGAAAGGCTAAAGCTAGTGGCTGCTTTTGCCTGTTGTAGTTTTCTACATTTTCATGGTTGCATCTCTCTTAGTGTCCAGCCATAGGTATGTGGCTCTCAGGTCTGTGTGTCAAGGCCTTAATCCACACAACACCGTGGCTGTTGTTTCTGAATTCACCACCTTCTGTGCACGGACCACACTTTCGTGTGCTCCCAGTGTAAGGATAAAAGCCAGCCCAGTGGAGACAGACACAGATTTCCTCTGATGGTGACTGGCTTAGGGACTTCCTGTCAACCTCCATTTAAACTGTACTGTTGTCTACGGCTTCTTCTGTTTCTGCTTCAGAGGGATTGGATCTGCGTCCTGGTGTCATTGTTCTCCCAGGCTCCTCCCACTCCCAACCCATTTCTGCACACAGACATCTTCCCTAATTCATATTTTGCATGTCTAATTCCATTTTGGATGCACCTTGGGGGAATCCAACCACTTTTCATGTATCTCATTTGATCCATACAATAATTCTGTCAGGTAGGCTGTTTTCATTTTATAAAGAAGAAGAAGAAAAAGGGTTAGAGTGACAAAAATCTCACCTAAAGATATATGGCTAGTAAGAGGTGGGTCTAGGACCCACCTTTCTTCTAGGCTAGTGATTGTAGTATTAATTATAGAAGCTAACATCTATGGAACATTTTCTATCATTTTATTGAAGGATATCATATTAAATTTTAAAGCAATATAATGAAGAAGATAGTCTTACTTCAATTTTCAATTGAAGAATCTGAGGTTATCAGATTTTTTTTAAAAGATTTATTTATTTTTTATTGGAAAGGTGGATATACAGAGAGGAGAGACAGAGAGGAAGATCCGTCCGATGATTCACTCGCCAAGTGAGCGCAACGGCCAATGCTATGCTGGTCTGAAGCCAGGAGCCTCTTCCGGGTCTCCCACACGGGTGCAGGGTCCCAAAGCTTTGGGCCATCATCAACTGCTTTCCCAGGCCCCAAGCAGGGAACTGGATGGGAAGTGGGGCTGCCGGGATTAGAACCGGCGCCCATATGGGATTCCGGTGCATGCAAGGCGAGGATCTTCAACCACTGCACCATCGTGCTGGGCCCGAGGTTACCAGATCTTAAGAATTTTAGGGGGATCAGCACTATGATTTAGTAAGTTAGGCCTCAGCCTATTGTGCTGGCATCCAGTTTGGGCACCGGCTTGAGTCCCTTCTGCTTAACTTCAGATCCAACTTCCTGCTAATGGCAAGGGAAGGCAGTGAGAATTGCTTGAGTGTGGGTATAGGTTTTCCCTGTACCCACATGGGAAACCTGGAAGAAGCTATAGGCTGCTGACTTAGGACTGGCCCAGCTCTAGGTGTTGCAGCCATTTGGGGAGCAGACCAGCAGATGGAGGAGCTCTCTTTCTATTTCTGTTTGTCTTGCTCTGTAAATCTGCCTTTCAAAGAAAAATAAGAAAATATTTAAGGAAACAAATCTTCCTAGTCATAGGATTAGGGGTTAATTAAAAAAGAGAGAAAGAATTCTGGGTCTAGCATGATGGCCTAGTGGCTAAATCTTCCCCTTGCATACCCGGGATCTCATGTTAGCACCCGTTCATGTCCTGGCTGCTCTACTTTCCCTTTAGATTTCTGCTTGTGGCCTGGGAAAGCAGTTGAGGATGGCTCAAAGCCTTGGGACCCTGCTTCCATGTGGGACATCCAAAAGAAACTTCTGGCTCCTTGCTTTGGATCAACACAGATTTGGCTATTGTAGTCACTTGGAGAGTGAATCAGTAGATGGAAGATCTTCCACTCTGTCCCCTCTCTCTGAATGTCTGACTTTACAATAAAAATAAATAAATCTTTAAAAAAAGACTAAATTGTAAATTTCATATAGAGTTTAGCACAAGCTTCCCTTCCTCACTAAAATGAAAGAAGGAAGAAAAAAAGAAAAAAAGAGAAAGCAATCTTGTGTAAGGTCTTACAGGAAATGCCAATCCAGGACTAAGAAATGAAGTGTATTTGATTCAGAGCAGGCCTCTTAACTATAAGGTTCTTTGAATACATTTTCTGTCCCCGGGACTTTTACCCATTTTATACACCATTGTTAGAGTCATCTTCCCAGTGGGATTGCCAGAGGGGTTGAGGGGTCACATACCTCTCACTGCTATCCTGACAGGGTCACTCTTGCTGGAACAGTTCAGGTAGAAGACCTCACACTGGTACTCCCCTTCATCCTCCATCATGACGGGTTCTATTGTGAGGATGCTGTTGTCTGAGGACAGGTTCATCCTCTCTGTGAGCTGCAGACTCTGGCTATTAAAGATCCACTGAATGGACAGTCCAGGCTCAGCTGTGATGCAGGTCAGGACCAGAGAGTCCTTTTCTGTGATTGCGGTGCTGCTGGCCTGAATAACTGCTCCTGTGGACAAGAGAGTAAGGGGCTGGGTGAGGGTGGGCCTGGGATCTGGACCCCCTTCCTCTCAGAGATCTCAGCCGACTCTCAGAATGCAGAGTGAGCGTGTGGATGTGACCCAGAGGACAGCCCTGACCCTCTGTAGAGGCCACGTGTCTGTTCAGCTGGTCTGTAAGGGGAGAATTGTCCCTGCCTCTGACCTCAAAGCTCCCAGAGTGACCTGACCAGCTCCCCGGATAGCCCTGTAGTGTCTGTGCTGGAAATTTCTCAGCCTATGGCATCAGCAGTTTCATGGTCAAGCAGAATGATTCTCCAGGAACTTTTGCAAGAACCTTCCAATGACTCTTAAGAGATCAAGTTAGGGGTTGGCATTACGCCATAACAGATGAAGCTGCCCATGATGCCAGCATCCCCTATGGGAACTGATTTGAGACCCAGCTGCTCTGCTTCCAGCCCTGGTCCCTGCTAATGCACCTGGGAAAGCAGCAGCAGAAGAGCTCTCCTGTGGGAGACCTGAGTGGAGTTCTAGGCTCCTGACTTCAGCCCGGCCCAGCCCTGGTTGATGCAGCCATTTGGAGAGGGAATCAGTAGATGGAAGATATTTCTTTCTCTCTGTCTTTCTCTCTCTCTGTGCTTTCCCACGCAAATATGTTCTTTCCTGTCAGTCTGTTTTTCAAATGGATAAATATTTTTAAAAAGATGATCTCAGAATTATACCATAAAATTCAAAATTCAAAATAAAAATAATAAAGATGGTCATGGCTCTTCCTAGCAAAGTGGCTTTATATGCAGAGAGATGTTTCCTTTTTCTTAGGTGAGTTATTAGGGAGTGAAGGTTACCTGTTCAGTCTTCACAACATTAGGGCCTGGAAGGGTTCTTTTTGAAAGATTTATTTTATTTGGGCTCAGTGCAATGGCTTAATGGCTAAATCCTTGCCATGCATGTGCTGGGATACCATTGGGGGCTGGTTTGTGTTCCAAGCCTCTCCACTTCCCATCCAGCTCCCTGCTTCTGGCCTGGGAAAGCGGTAGAGAATGGCCTGGGCCTTGGCTCCCTGCAGCTCATGGGAGACCTGGGGGAGGCTCCATGCTGCTGGCTTTGGATCAGCTCAGCTCTGGCCATTGTGGTCACTTGGGGAGTGAGGCAGCAGATGGAAGATCTCTCTATCTCCTTCTCTGTGTAAATCTGCCTTTCTAATAAAGATAAAACTTTTTCAAAGTGTTTATTTATTTAAAGTGTAGAGTAACAGAGAGAGGGAAGAAAGATCTTCCATCCACTGGTTCATTCTCCAAATGGCCATGATGGCAACTGCTGAGGCAGTCTGAAGTCAAGAACCGGGAACTTCCTCATGTGGGTGCAGGGGCCGAAGGACCAGGGCTGTCCTCCACTGCTTTCCCAAGCACAGTTATCAGGTGACTGGATCAGAATGGAGAAGCTGGGACTCGAACTGGCATCCTATAGGATGTTGATACTATAGCTGGCAGCTTTACCTGTCTCACCATAGCTCTGGCCCCAAAGGTTCTAATCTAAAGGATTCTCCAACCTAAGGGAGCTTTTACTTCCTAATGTTAGATTAAGTACCAGGAGGCAGGAAGTCCTCAGAGAGAAGACAGCATCCTCACCCTCTTCATGGATTGTACAGTTTCTGGCACTGCTGCTTCCACCACAGGGAGACTCCACAATGAGCTTCCCCAAGTGAGCACCACTCACTCCCCTGTGCTGCATCCCATGTGCTGGGACCCAAAGCAGGGACGCTGTGACCACAGAACCAGAATACATTGCAGAAAAACAAAACAAGAAAAAGAAAACAGTGCAGATGTGTCTGCCCCAAGACTCTCTTCCTGACCTGGTGGGTACTTCAGGCTGTCTCAGCCCCTTCTTCACCCTTCCCAGTGCCACCGCAGATGGAGTCAGAACCCTGCCAGTCTCCCGGTGAGCAGGGCAGAGCAGGGAGCAGAGCTCTGAGCAGCTCAACCCCATCTTGGTGAGAGCATTTCAAAGCCTCCTACGTTCCCTGTAGCTCATGCAGGAGGTGAAACAAAACCAAGAGGTGACAGGAAGAGATGAGTTGGTGGCAGATGTAACTGTCACTGAGGACCCTTCTGCACTCCTCTGGTGGCCTCTCTGGGGCTGGAGGAACCCCACAACTTCCAGCCACAAGAAGTCAGGGGCAGATTCAGTCTGAGGCAGAGTTAGGGTGTTCAGAGGAGGTCTGGGGGTGGCCTGTGCCTGTGAGCACAGACTGGGAAATGGTTTCTTCTAGGCTGTTCTCTACAAACCCACCATAGATCACTCTACTCCCACCACACCATTCCCAAGCTTAACAAAGACCTTTTAGGCCCACTTACCATAGACTGTGATGTTCCTAACAGCAGTGTTATTGAGTCCAGTGTTGGAGTTATGGACCTCACAAGTGTAAGACCCACTGTCACTTGTAGAGATGCTGGGTATGTGGAGTTGTTGAGTGGACCCCCAGATCTTCCCATTGATGAGCCAAGTATACTGTGCAGGTGGATTAGAGTCCGCCTCACAGAAGAGTGTGAGGTCAGTTCCTGAGCAGTAGTTCTCCTCTGAGGGGGAAATGGTGGGGGAGTCCGGGCCATCTAGAGTGAACAGAATAGAACCACACAGGATCATCAGAAGGGAGGGGACACCACTGGTCTGGTGAAGCCCCTATTACCCCTCTGAGCCATGTCCCAACCACAACCCTTGTGCTCACTGGGCCTTGGCCTGCAACGGTCACTTGTTTCTGCATCACGGATGGGTGACCAGAGCCTCTCCAGTTAGGAATAGCCCACTCCTCATTCTCAGCTCAAGGCTGAACCTGTCCATGATTGCCAGAGATAGGAAGTCCCTGCCAGCCAGAGTGTCCAGGGATGACAGTCATTATTCTTGGACCCAAGTGGCCTGGCCTCTGGCCGTGAGGGTTTGGGCCAGCAGCCCAGGCACGGAGGAGGAGACATTACTCACAGGAAACATTCAAGGTGTTTGAGTTCCTGAAGATGACAGTCGTTGAGTTCCTGATTTCACACTCATAGATTCCTGTGTCATTCCTGGTGACATTGAGTAGAGTGAGGGTCCTGTTGTTCGAGGACAGCTGCAGCCTGTCAGGGATCTCCTGGACTTCCTCACCATCTTTGTACCACTGGTAGGTCATGCCCGGAATGTCAGGTTCACAAGTTAATACAAGTTCCTTGCCCTCAATGGGCTTGGAATCGTTGATAATTTGGGGTTCTGTGCAGGAACAAAGAAGATCACCCTGTGTGGGTTCTTTGATTCCTCTGAAAGCCTCCTCCTATCAAAGTTGGCATCTCTTTTCACCCATCCAACCTGAGTCCTAAAAGAACCAGGCAGGTGTGTGTGTGTGTGTGTGTGTGTGTGTGTGTGTGTGTGTGTGTGTGTGTGTAAGAGAGAGAGAGAGAGAGAGAGAAAGAGAGAGAGAGAGAAAGAAAGAAAGAGAGCAAGCTGTATGACAACCTGGGTGGTCAGGGAAAGTGACACCCATGTGCTCCCCCTGCCTGGAAGACGCACAGACTTTGTCAGGTATGAATTAAACAGCTGCATTTTGTCATGAACAAAGCCAGGACCTGGATTTAGAGACCCCTCTCCCCAGTGCCTTGCCAGATCCTTGCTGACCACCAGCTGTCCACCTGGTCCAGGTGAGAATGCTTACCTGGAAGGTGTGGGTGCTGAGTCCCTCTAGCGCATGATCCCACATTGCGCAGCCCAGATGCTTTCTCTGAGGCTTTGCTTTTCAGCAACATCTTAGGGATGGATCATAGTAAGCACAGGGGATGAACAAAGATAACATGCAGAGGCCAGGAGCAGCTGTGGGGACCCAAAGTAGAGTTCTGCCAAGTGTTAGATGGTGATTGACATGAGCTAGTGAACATCTCAAAGGTGGAGTCCAGTGGCTGGCTCCTCAGTGCGGTGGGCTAAACCTCCACCTGTGGCATCAGTGTCCTATGTGGATGCCAGTTTGCATCCTCACTGCTCTACTTCTGACCCAATACGTGACTTGGCGAGGCAGCAGAGGTTGGCCCAAATCTTTAGGTCCCTGCACCCACCTGGCAGACCTGGAAGAAGCTCCTGGCTCCTGGCTTTGGATCAGCTCATTTCTGGCTGTTGTAGCCACTTGGGGAGTGAACCAGTGGATGGAAAATCTTTCTCTCTGTCTCTCCTTCTCTCTGTGTAACTCTGCCTTTCAAATATAAGGGTTTTTTTTTCATCTTTTTTTGAAAAGGCTACAAAAAGAGTTCAAGAAATTATCAAGTATGAATGAGGGGGACAGGTAGAGACTGTCCTCCACCAGGGAGAACAGGGCTGTCACTTGAGACAGAACTGAGCATGCCTTATGTTTCCCAGCTGTGCTTTATGAGGTCTAGTTTCAGTAAATATATTTCCCTTTACCTCAGTTTCCCTTAATGGGGATAAAAATCAAATTGTATTTGGCTTGTCAAGTTTTCTGTAAATTAACTTTAAAGTATTTACAGGGCCTGGGTCCAGTGCAATAGCCTAGCAGCTAAAGTCCTTGCCTCGCACATGCTGAGATCCCATATGGACGCCAGTTCTAATCCCGGCAGCTCCACTTCCCATCCAGCCCCCTGCTTGTAGCCTGGGAAAGCAGTGGAGGACGGCCCAAAGCCTTGGGACCCTGCACCTGCGTGGGAGACCTGGAAGAGGCTTTGGATCCCTGGCTTCAGATTGGCTCAGCTCCAGCCATTGTGGCTGCTGGAAGAATGAATCAGCAGACAGAAGATCTTCATCTGTCTTTCCTCCTCTTTGTATATCTGACTGTGCAGTAAAAGTAAATCTTAAAAAAAAAAAAACTTACAGGGCCTGGTCTACAGCTTGGCATGGAGGAACTGCCCAAATACATGACATCTATTAATATTTTCCTCTTAGATTTCCTAAGCCTAATGATTGATGACTGCTGCTGAGTCTCCTAAGGTGCAGAGCAGTCAGCTATTGGACAGGAAACTGCCCCTCTGTGTCTCCCTCTTGAGTCTCAGGGGAAGGACCCAACTCCGCTCTGGCCCACAGAAGGCTCTTTGAGGCTGATCCCTGCTGGTGACCAGAGGACCACAGAGCTTGGGAATCTGACAAAGCCTTGCTCATCAGCCCTGCCCAGGAGGCCAAAACCCAGGCCTGGGCCAGGTTCCACAGATAACCTGAGGTCAGGAACCCGGGGCAGAGGCTTCTGGAGAGTTATTTTCCCTGTGAGGATCCTGTGGGTTCTTTGGGCCAGGCCCTGACCAAGTCCAGTAAGGTATTTTCATGGTCAGGGTTTAGGGGGTTGGACTGGGCCTGATGTCCTTCTGCTGAGTTCCCCCATCACTGTCCCCTCTCAGCAAAATATCACAGGGTCTGGCTTCTGGAAAGAATTCCAGTCTTCAGAAGTTTGTCTTTCCTGGGTGTGTTCTGTACTAAATGCTCAAAACCCAGCACAAGACAAGAGGCAGAGGGGCAAGACAGGAACCTCACAGGTCTCATAACCCTATGTGTGTGAGATAGATGGAATGCTCCCTGCCCGGACACCCAGAGGTCACAGAGGGGACACTTACGGTATACGTGGAGCTGTACAGAGATATATTCAGGAATGTAAGATTCTTCATCCGTGACTCCTAGGGTGTAGTTTCCTGTGTCGTTCTTGATAACGTTCTGGATCAGCAGGGACCCATTGGGGAAGATTGTGTGTCTGTCTGTGTATGTAGGCCCTGGATCAACTTTGCTTCCCAGGACTCTGTATGTTATAATACGAAGGTTTGCATTAGATGTTTCCCCATTAAACCAGTTGTAGAGTATAGGATTTTGTGGTGGATTTTGGAGGAGGAGAAGCACATCCATCCCTTCAGCAGCAATGGGCGGTACAGGTACCACTGTGTATTCGGCCATGGTGGATGGGATCCAGACAGTCAGAAGTGAGACTAGGAAGGAAGGGAGAGAAATCAGTCAAAAGGGAGACCTGTATTTTGGGAGGAAATGTGGGCTCCTGGCTCCTCTTCACCCCTCAGCTTTGCGTGTCTGCTGTGTAAAATATTTGCGTATTTATATGAGTGTGTATTTGTGTATGTATGTGTGTCTGCTGTGTCTCCTACTAGGCCAAGACCTAGCAATATGACCTCCATTCCTTCAATGTCTCTGAACTTGTCACTCCATTTGTTTGGAGCACTCCTGCCCAAGGGTCTGCTCCTGGATCCTGCTCACCGCCAGGGAGCATGGGAGCCCCCTTCCTGACCAGCTCTCAGAGTCATCACTTCTGACCTCTCCCTGCTTTGAGCTTGCCTGGATTTCTGCTCATCTGTCTCCTCCCCCAATGGAGTGGCAGCTCCGTGAGGACGGGGATGTGTCTAGTATGAGCTGCAGCCCCTGTGCCTGGACAAACTGCACTTACCTAGGTGTGAAGTGGTGAATGTTCCCTGGTCCTGCACACCTGGGTGTGTGAATGTTAACTTCTGGGTTAGTGGCTGAGGGTGGTATTTAGGCCTCAGCTGTGCTTTTATTTAGAGCATCACCCTGAAACTGTTACTGTTGTCATTTTTTAAAATGTGTTGAGCTATGGTAATTAACAAGGAGAACAGCTCAGTGGAGGCTCTCCTGGCCCTTCCCAGTGCCACTTCACTGACAGCTTCCTGTTGCTGAGGTTCCCCCTCCTCTATTCAGCTCCAGAGGCAAGCCCTGTGTCCCCTCTTAGAGCCCTTCCCTTCCCCAGAGACCCCAGCTGGTCTCTGTGTCCCCAGCCACCCACCCCTGCACACCCCCTCACCTGCCAGCAGGAGCCCCTGCCAGGGGACATGGCCTCTGTGTGGAGAAGCTGAGGGGTTCTCCATGGCGTCTGCTGTCTGCTCTGACCTCCCTCTTGGAGAGGCACTCCCAGCTCCAGCTGCTCCCAGCTCTGCTGTCCTGCCTGCCTCTGCACTGAGCCTCCTTCCAGAACAGGAGCATTTGACAGGGTCACATGGGCTGGGGGCGGGCCCTCTGCCCAGGAGGCCTCCCTGTGCCCTTCCCTCTCAGTCCTGCCTCCTTGACCCTTCTCCTTTAACTCGAAGTTTGGGTTTCCCAGATCACGCTTTGACAAGCAGGGCTGTCCTGTGACAGACAAGCTGCCCACCTTAGCACAGACTTTTGCTGTGTCCAGGCCTTGGGTCTGCTCTCTCAGCACTACACGGAGAGCCCCTGGGGTCCCCGAACTTACTGAATTAGTTCCCTTTGTGACGTAGAAATCTGACTGTGCATAGGGTCTTTCTCATGTTCTCGAATGCTCTGGGAAGGTGGGATTTAGTCTAGCAGGAGGCAGAGGCAGCTCTGGGAGCTGGGCAGGGGCTGGCTGAGTGATGAGAAGCTAAGGGCACCTTTCCTCCACCTCAGTGTGGTCTGCTGACCTCTGCCCCAGGGAGCAGGTGTCTCAGGAGGAGCTGCAGCCCTGGGTGTGCAGGGCAGCGTCCTGTCTGTCCTAAGAAGAGACAGTTAAGGTGGAGGTGGGTAATAGATGTTGTGTCCTGTTGTCTTGTGTGTGTTCTAGAAGCTCCTCCCTCCCCGTGTGTGTTGGCTGAGCTGTGGCTCAGGACTGTCCATGTCCTCCCTGGCTGTCCTGGGTGACCTCTCTCCTCTGACCAGATGATTCTCCTGGAGTCATACTTTCTTGTAACTGGTGCCTAGAGGGAGTGGGGGCTGCCCAGAGACCCCTTACACAGCGGGGTCTTCGGAAGCCAAGGAAGGAGTGACATAGGAGGCACACGGGAGAGTCCCTTAGGGTCTGTTGGAGCAACAGATGGAGGTCAGGCTCCATGTCCACCCTCTGAGCCAAAGCCAGGCTTGGTCTCAGGGAATTCAAGTTCCAGTGTTGTCCGTGTGTCTTTGATGGTGCCCCCTGGTGGTCGTGAGGAGACCTGCAGACAATGTGAGGGGCTACACCAGAGATGCTGACCAGGCTCCACGTGGGATAAGCTGGCCTTGACCCCTGGGCAGAGGTGGGGTGTGACCTCCAGGAGGCAGAGTCAGGCCATCTGGGTCTTGTTCTGTGTGTTTCCCCAACTCTGACCCACACAGTGAGTCCAGGGAGAGGACAGAGTTGTGCAGCCTTGGGAAGACTTAGCTGACTCCGAGCTTTCAAAGGAAGGTTGTTTCTTGATGCTTAAGGGAGAAGACCCCACTCCTGGAGCTGGTCCTAGCATGCTCTGTGTTTCCTCCTCCACAGCAATACTGGTGTGGTTCAAAGTCACCGAGTCTCTGTTACCTGCTTCAGATCTCCCCACGGAGCTCAGGAACCAGAGCTCCCACCTGGGCACTGAGCCAGGGCACCGTGGGTTCCTCTGGTAGGAGAGGAAGCTCGGGGACCCTCAGACCTGTGAGATGGACGCTAAGGCAGGTCGTGGGTTATCCTGTCCCGTGCTGCACGGGAAGTGGCCCTTGTTCTCCAGGAGTCTTTGGGCTGCTGGGTTTCTGTAGGGGAGCGTAGCCAGGTGTCTGCACAGCACTGGGCTCGCCAAGGCTGAGGAGTTTCTCCTTTTCTTCTTCTGTAACCATGTGGGTTCAGGCCTCACCACTGTGGGAACTCCATCCGGGATGGCAGGCCCTCTGCGGGAATGTGGTGTCACAGCTCGGAGATGGGGAGTGGGAATCGGCACTGTCAGGAGGCCCTTGCCACTTCTGCCAGGCTGTGAGAGGGTACCTGTGCCTGGACAGCTACAGGTCCTTGAGGGGTCCCCCTGGGCTGAGGCCAGTGGCCCTGTGCCCCCAGAGAACATTCTCTGACCTCTGGGGTCACACTGAGGTGATGTGCTTCTGCTGTGGGTTCCACATCCATTTTACAAGCATTATGCAAGATTTGTTAGGTGTCAGATCTTGGCCTGGGAGCTGACAATCCCGTGGAGAGATGGACAGATGTGATCTCCCGGGAGACAGGCACAGAATGAGACATCATGGGAGCCACAGCTAAAGGTAAAGAGGAGGACCAGTACCTGGACATCTGCAGCTGCATTGAGCTGAGCTGCACTGGGTGTGGGAGGGACCCACTGAAGGGCCTTTATGGTGAGAGCTGAAGCTGCCTGGATGTCCCCTGGGGAGGTGGAGGGTGTGTGGTCAGGGGCTGCCTGCAGAGGGATGGCTCTCAGTTGGCACATGCTGGTGAGAGGAGGGCTGGAGGAATCCGTATGGGGCCGCTCCCGTGTGTGGGCTGTGAGCTGTGGACTGGGGGCTGCCAGCTCTGGGCTGCTGGTCCCACCGGGCTCCAAGCTGGGGCATCGCCGCCCTCTAGTGGCCGACGAGGAAAGTGTGGAGGGCACCACATTGGGCTGCTTGTTTTAATCAGTGTCATTCTGGACACATTCCCTGTGTCCACATCACACGACCACCTGTCGTGGTGATGTCACACCATGTGGATTCAAGTCCCTGTTTCTAGGAATATTATTCCCCCTCTCCCCACAGTGAGACGTCTCCAGCCCAAATAGTTGTGGCTGGCTGTCAGCTTGTCTGAGCAGGTTACGTATACCATGTGTCCCTGGTGTGTGATGTATGATGCCAGGTCCTTGTCAAGGGCGGGTCAGGAAACTGTGTGTCAGGAGAAGGTCAGTGTGGGGCAGCAGGAGGACAGGGATGTACAAGCCCACCCCACTGCTTGGCCACCCTGAGGACAGCACCCTGAGGTCAGCACACAAGCCCACCCCGAGGACAGCACACACCTGTGTCCCTGTGTCAGCAGAGGTGGGAGCGGGTTCTGCCCCTGTTGGTCAGGACCTGGCTTTGGGTGCCCCAGCACCCAGGATGGACTTTCACGTGTTCTGTCCCTGGTGACTCAGGTTGCTCTGGGCCTCTCCACCCACACTGGCTGTGAATGGAGAATCGCCCGGTTCTGAGAGGGCTGCACTCCCACAGTCCCACGCTGGACACACCACAGAGCCTGTTGTCCTCTGTCCCACTCGTTTCTGCACCACTTCCTCCTGGACCTCGCTGGCTGCCTCGGGGCCCCACCTGCTCCTGTTCCAGGCAGCTGCGCGTGATGTCACAGCTCCTCATGGCTTCTGGCCTCACTGGCCTCTGCTGTCCGTTGTGAACCTGGTCCCTGTGAGAGAGGACCAGTGACACCCACATAGGTGCTCTCCATTGGGCTGCGCTCTCCAGACAGCTCCAAGCCTGGGCAGCTGGGGGGCCCTGATGTCACACCAGGAAGGACTTTTGAACCCTGGGGAGAAGCCACATCCCCGTGGTGCCCAGATCCCAAGGGGGCACATCCCACAGTGGGGGGACCTGTGATTGGTAGTAACCTGACTCAGTGTCATCGACCAGCTCCCCCAGCCATGTTCCTCTCCGTAACTGGTTCTCCTATGTTACCCCCAAGCCCGTGTAAGGTCCTCATTACCGTGCCCAGACGGTCAGAGCTGTGTGTGGAGACGCAATGGAGGATCCTAAGAGAGCCCACAGACAGGGAACAGGCGTCATGATCTCCCCTTTCCCAAGCCCACGGCAAGGTCGGGACAGTGGGCCAGAAAGTGAAAACCCCGAAAAGGTCTGTGTCCTGGGAGCCCTGTGGCCCGTGCCTCCACATGACTCCTGTGCCTCCAGCTCAACCCTCTGTGCCAACACATGGAAATTGCACATGTGTGTGGCCTGGTCAACTTCATGTCTCATGTCTCCCTGTGTCCCCAAACCCTTGGGTCTCTGCCATGAAGAACCCGCGTGTGTGTGTGTGGGTGTGGTTTATATGTTGGTTTTCTTTTGATGTGACGTTTAAAAACTGGCAAAATACATATGACATATGTCCTTTAAACCATGTTAAGTTGGAGAGCTAAATGCCATCAGTTACGCTGATAATGCTAAACAAGCGAGACCACTAATTCTTTTCCTGAAACGTTTCCTCACCTGTAATGGGAACTGTCCACTTGGCAGTAAGGACCCATGTGTGTGCCCCCTCAGGTAACTTCCTCCACTTCCCCCTGTGAGTTTGTTATTGATATTTCACACAGGTGGGCTAATACAGCACTTTATTTCTGGTTTATTCCACTTAGCACAATGTTTCCAAGGTTCCTCTGCATTGTATCATATATAGGAATTTTATTCTTTAACGATTCATCTGTTTTTTATTTGAAAGGCAGAGTTATGGAAAGAAGGAGATACAGAGAGAGAGAGATCTTGCACCCACCGATTCACTCCCTGGATGTCTGCAATGGCCAGAGCCCAAAGCTGGGAGCCAGGAGCTCCTTCCAGATCTCTCACGCGGGCGGCAAGGGGCCCAAGCCCTTGGGCCGTGCTCTGCTGCTTTCCCAGACACAATGGCAGGGAGCGGGGCTGAAAGTGGAGCAGCCAGGACTCGGACTGGCATATGAGCACTGGCTGGTGCTAAAGGCAGAGGCTTAGCCTACTGCACCATGGCACCGGCTTAGCCCTCCTCCTTTCTTTTCTCTCTCTCTCCCCTCTTGGTTTTAACTCTGCCTTCCAAATAAAATACATAAAAACGTTTAGCACTATGTGGTTATGGATATCAGTGTAGACCAGTGACTCTCAGTGTCTGGAGACCTTCCTGGTTGTCACACCCCAGGGAAGCGAGTCCCACTGGTGCTTTCTGGGTGAGTCCCCGGGTGCCGCACACCGTGCTGTCAGCGCTGAGGGTGGTGCCGAGGAGCCTGAGAGCCTGAGAGCCCACCGGGAGCCATTCCATTTCCGCTGGAGCTTCCCCCGCCCCACTCCGCTCTCCCCCGTCCCTCCCTGCCATCCCGCTGCGTCAGTCCCTCCTGTGGCACCTGGGGTCGCGCCATCATCTGACTGCGCTCATCTCTCCACTGCCTGGCCACATTCTCTGGGCCGCTGACGGAGGCGTCCACTGGAGGGCGCTCGC